ATTTATATTTATATTTATATTTATATTTATATTTATATTTATATTTATATTTATATTTATATTTACTTGTATTGATTTGTACTTAACCACTAGAAAGGAATGGAAACTTTTGATGTTATTCTACGCACCAGTCAAGAGAAAATTAACAATTACCAATTGATGGCAATCTTGAACAATTTTAAGGGGAGGGTCCTCTTCTTCAAAAGAGAATGTTTAAAAGTGCATCAGAGTAAAAAGAAGTTGTCTTTTCTTTTCTTTTTTTTAATACAATTTAAGTAAAAGCCTTTCTTGTACCTAATAGAACAGATTTCAACACTCTCTCAACCTGGAATTTGAGTTGACTAAGAGAAAACAGAGTTGATCTTTCTCCTTTAAAAGTTCCCACATTTATGACTGAGACAGAAACACTTACCTGGATTAAAGACAAAAGAGATTGAGAAAGTTTTAACAAACAAGATATGCCAACCAACCAAGCACTGCAGTATCCGACCACCTTGGGACAAAGAATCCACAAGGGGCAGAAGGAACAGCCGTAGCCTGTCACCTTCTTGTTATCTGACACCTTATTAATATTAGCCATCAGAAGTTTGTCAAACTGGGGAAGGTCAGTGAAGGGGAGATGTTTCATGCTAAACCTTTCCTGAAGGAGTAGTTTTGGCACTACTGTGGTAAGAGGGACGCTAATAGTAGTGGAAAATAACAGCTCTTGCAAACACAATGTCAAGTTAAGATGTGTCTTCAAAAAAATGCCAATTTTCCGACTAGGAAAATAACAAGTAGGTAAGTCTGCACATGTAAATTACCACAGCAAGCAAAACTTCCAGGGTTAGGTTTGGAACTCGACTGTCACCAAGACACTACCTTGTTGTTACCTAAATAAACTTGCTAACAGGAAAAGAAAAACTGGTTAAATAAAACGAGTGACAGTTCAGGACCCCTTCAAACCGCGAGAAACTTGTTCGGACCGACGGTGCCACCTCCGGAGTCCGCATCGCAAGTCGCCCGGGTCGGGTGTCTGCGCGAGGACCGGCCCCGTCCGTCATCTGGCGATTACCTCGGGCTGCAGCCGTCCGCGGGATCCTCCTTCCCGGGGTGGCCCCGCGGTCCGGGCGGCGTCCGGAGGCGACGCGGTGGCGGGAGCTCGGCGCGCGGGCCACTCGGGCTGGTCCCGGGCGCAGGCGGCGCGGGGAAGGAAGCGGCTGCCGGGCGAGCGTGGAGGGCGCGCCGGGGACTCGCGCGCTCGCCCCGACGCGCACCGCGTCCCGGGAACCGCCCGGCCGCGCCGCCGCGTCCCGGCTCCCGGCCCGAGAGCGCCCCCGCCCGGAGAGGAGGAGAGGGACCCGGCGGGACACCCCGACTGGAGGCCCCTCCATGGGCTGTGCCAAGGAGTGAATTGCTCAGAGAGCCCAAAGTAGGACGCAGGCACAGAGGATGGTTTACTCCCCAATCCTAAAACGGTGGGTGGGAAGAGGCCCATTATTCGCCTCATAATATAAACTTATTATCAAAACAGGTGACTGTCATTTTGGCCTGACAGTGAATGAGTCCAGATCACATGTCTCCGTTGGGTTTCGTCGGACCTTCAGCAAGTGTCTTTAGGACTGTATGTTCCTGACGCTAAAAATGACAGAGAGCCCCAAGGAAAAGGCTGAGATGTTGCTTCTCTGTCCTCAGAATCCAGCACAAATTCCCTGAACACAGTAGGCACATGGTAACAGATGGTTTTGTTGCATGTACAGAATGAACTGATGCAGAGAGGAAAGCGGATATTTCCCTTTCTAAATGACCATTTTGCCCAGGCTTTAGCAGGCAAATACAAGACCGCCAATTTAATACTATTTTTGTTTTGTTTTCCAGAATCAGCATTTGATTAGGGGACTGACACACCCCCACCTCCACCAGCCCTTTTGCTTCTGGTAACCGAAAACAAAGAGGAGCCGTTTCTCCATTTCCATCACCCTATACAAATTCCTGACCTGACCTCGGGTGATATGATACAGACTTGCACTGATGTCATTGTACCCCCATCCCCCGCCCCACAATATAGATACTGTTTCAGAGATGATTGTGGTAGAAATCAAGCTCCCCAGAGACAAAAAAGATAGCTATCCCTATCAGAATTTTTGCATTCACTTGGATTGGACAAGACTATACGTTCACACTCCACATCTATGTTAATTCTCCAGCCTCTTTTAACTCTCCAGCCACCCGTTGTAATGAAATCTGAAAAAATCCAAACCAGCTGGACATCCGACAGAATGTAACAGTGGTCAGCATAATAATCCTTTGCTAAGCAAACTGGATGGACAAGAAGTGACTAGTATCTTGGCAGCCTTGGTAAAACACATGGACTCTAGAAGGTGGTACATAAATCCTACAAAGATACATATCAGAAAAACTTTTAGAAGTCCTAAGGTCTGGGACATGTTAAGATATCCCTTCAAAGTAAAGGAAGAACTACTACGTCTTGTACCTCTCACTGCAAAAAAGGAAGCTGAATGCCTGGTATGCCTTTTTGACTTCTGGAAGCCACATATTCCATGTTTGGGAATACTGCTTTGACCAATACATCAGGTAGCCATAAATGTCACCAGCTGTATGGGGACAAGAGCAGGAAAATACTGTAGTAAGTTTGGGCTGCAGTGCAGTGTTTAATCCTAGTAAATCCTGTGGAACTAGAGGTTTAAGTGGGAAAAGATGCCATTTAGAGTTATTCAAACCCAAGCTGCTGATACTGATACCAAAGGTTTTTTTTTTCTTATTTTTTTCTTTTTTAAAATTTACATCCAAATTAGTTAGCATATAGTGCAACAATGATTTCAGGAGTAGATTCCTTAGTGCCCCTTACCCATTTAGCCCATCCCCCCTCCTACAACCCCTCCAGTAACCCTCAGTTTGTTCTCCATATTTATGAGTCTCTTCTGTTTTGTTCCTCTCCCTGTTTTTATATTATTTTTGTTTCCCTTCCTTTATGTTCATCATTTTTAACACCAAAAATTATTCAGAGCTTTTTTTCTCATAGGGATCTCAGATAATCATTCAAGTCTTAAATTCCACATAAATAAATACAAACTGTCATTTTCATTAATATTGTAAAGTGCTAATAAAAGTTATGACATCCCTGGGGCACCTGGGTGGCTCAGTCAGTCAAAGGTCCGACTTTTGATTTCAGCTCAGGTCATGATATCATGGTTGTGGGATCGAGCCCCATGTCAAGTTCCACACTGACCATGGAGCCTGCTTAAGATTCTCTCTCTCCCTCTGCCCCTCCCACTGTGCTTGCTTGCATGCACATGCTCTCTGTCTCAAAAAAAAAAAAAAAAAAAAAAAAAAAAAAGTTATGACAGCACAAATTTACAGCTTCCTTAGCATAAGCTCTTAAAAGGTTGAAAATTTGCTAAGTCATTCTTTGGGAGATATTTTATTAAAATGCTAATAAAATCCAAATGCTATCCTTTCTGCACAGTTATTTAACTCTCAACTTCTCCAGGTATTGTCTCCTGGATTAATAAGATCACCATTCTCCTCTCATGTCATAGCATATTCTGTCTATGCTAGTGATACTCTTTTTGGCACTTTAGAATCACCTGAGGAGAGTAAACAGCCTGCTGCTGAGGTCATGCAGTTCAATCAGAATTTCTCAGAAGGGACTTAGACATCATTTTTTTTCTTTTTTTTTATTATTATTATTTTTTAACTCTCCTAGTGATTCAAATTAGAAACCAGGTTAAAGAACTACTGGTATATACATTTTAGAGGGCATTACACACTTGCTACTTCCTTACATCCCTGACTCCCTAACAGAATCTCCCTGAGTGAACTTTTCCATCCTAGTATTCATTTACTGATCTGCATGATAGATATTTATTATGTGATTTGCTAGACACTTGGTTGACAAACACAGCCTTTCAACACATAAAAACTTCTTAACAGAGGGCATCTGGGTGGCTCAGTTAAGTGTCTGACTCTTGGTTTCAGCTCAAGCCGTGATCTTGTGGCTTCATGAGTTTGAACCCTGCGTTGGGCTCTGCCCTGGCAGTGTGGAGTTTGCTTGGGATTCTCTCTCTGTCCCTCTCTCTGTGTCCCTCTCCTCCTCATGCTGTCTCTGTCTCTCTCAAAATAAATATATAGACTTAAAAAATTCTTAATAGAAATACCTTTTGCACTAAACAGGTTGGCTGATTATCATTGTCTTTAGTATACATTGTTCTGAATTGAAGAAATCTTGTACATGTAATTGTACTGTATCCTCAATAAACAAAAAAATGAATGAAATATGCATGCATTACATGCAAAGAGGAAGAAAAGATAGTATTTTATGGAGGGTGCATTGTTATAAAGTATCGCTCTCCAATTCAAGGTGAAAATAATTATTTGTACTCAAAAGCTGTTAACATTTAAGAGGCATTTCACAAAGTTAAAATAAAAACAAATAAAAGATAAACTGAACTGCTCCCTTTTTGGAAATTTTTATCAAGTTTATACCAACTTTTTGATACTACAAGCCTGTAGGAACAAGGATCGAGATGTGCATATTTAGGGTACATAAAGACATAGCTGCAAAATATTTGTATTTGATAACTTCTACCTAATAAAATTTTGTTTGTAACTGATTTGATTTTCTACTGGGAAAACCAAATAATATCAACAACTAATATCAATGAGGTGACATCATACTTTTTAAATATTTAATGATTTTCATCTCATTAAACACTGAGATTGCTGCATTATTATAAATCTTAGAAGTGAATATATTAACTTGTTCAACCTGTAAGTCAGTTACAGAGAGAAGCCCCAAGTCTATTCTTTTGACTCAAAATTTCTCTTCTGACTAAAAATAAACCCACAAATCGGGAGCGGGGGAAGGGCACTTCTATAGTGGTGGTAAGGTGTTATAATAACCATCCCAGATATTTAAGGAATAAAAACTTCTAATAAAAAAGATTGTAAAAGAATACTATAAAAAGTTATATGCCACCAAATGGATAAATTCCTAGAAATATAGTTTTCCAAAACTGAACTGGGAGGAAGTAGAAAAACAAAAGTGATAAAAAGAATAATTTTTTCTCACATAAATTTCTGAAAGCAGATTATTGTTTTCAAATAGTCCAACAAAGCTTTTACAATATCTCATTTTTTTCTTTCTCTGAAAGAAAAAAAGTATAAATAAGTAGAATGTTGTTTGTAATTGATACATTTTTAGATACAATTTCTTTCATGCTTAAGCAAGAGCTAATCAGTTGACAAATCTGCCTACACATGGTGAAGTACAAAGCCAATGAAAAGGGAAATTTCTATTATTGTTCTTCCTTTCATTGGCAACTCACTTAATATTTTTGGTATAGAAACTCTAGAATCCATTTTGATGTATTGTATACTCTGAGTTTTTATATAAAATCAAATATTTCAATAATTTGTCATTTTGTGAATAATTTACATCTCAGAATTAAAGAGTAGTGATTTTTTTCCATACTAATGTTCATTTATTAATGGCAAATTGCTGCCAAATATGTCTTGCAAGGAATGTTCCTTGAAAACTCTCTGTAAATTCATGACCCAAAGGTCTTATTTTTTATTCCCAGCTATACCTTAATTAAGATCTGATATGTGGTTACCTTAAACCACATTATCCTTCTTCCAAATTATCCTTCTCTGTAGCCACAACCACGATAATATGAAAATAGCCAAAATGACTGCTGTGTAGCTTGGTAGGTAAAGCCAAGTACTCCCAAGAATGAAGAGTGACATTTCTAGCTAACGATGTTAATAATCTATGATCAAGAATTACTATGAACTCTGAACTAATCTATAATTCATTTATCATATACCCATTATACTGTAGGAACTTTGTGGTAAAGTGGAAAAAGCCTGAAGCTTGGAATGATGGGTCTCCTTCTGTTGAAGTCCCTGTTTCTCAAATGACTTTCCTGGATAAAGAGACATTTGGAGATGAAGATTCTCCAGATCCTTCATAAAAACAGCAGATTCTTACAAAATTCCCCTGAGTATGAATTTAGCTTGAGTTTTAAATGTATCACTTCATAACAACACATTGTGCTTACTCTCAACAGCAGAGTAAACATGCCTAATTTCTTTGCACACATGAAGAAAATACAGTTGAAAACTTATCTATCTATATTTAAATTTTTTTAATGTTTATTTATTTTGCAAGAGAGAAGGAAAGAAGAAAGAGGCAGAGAGTGGAAAGAGAGAGAAGAGGGGCAGAGAAAGAGGGAGAGAGAATCCCAAGCAGGCTCCACACTGTCAGCACAGACCCCAATGTGGGGCTCGATCCCACAAACTGTGAGATCATGACCTGAGCCAAGATCAAGAGTCAGAAGCTGAACTGACTGAGCCACCCAGGCACCTCAATTTTTTTTAATTCAAAGGAAGAAAGTTTTATGTAGAGTAGAAATCAAGAATTCTGGGTAAGACAATGTGAGATGGTGTTTGAGATCTGGGACATCTGAGGATACT